GTGAGCCATAGCAAAACACGCACGGGAACCGCACTTCAGACATGGCAAACCTTAACTCAGTGGACGGCGAGACGGAACCTGGTTGGCCCCTTCATTAAGTGGTTGTCACAACATCCTTCAAAAGCAATAAACAGTAACAAAAAAAAGGCTACGGATTTGCAAATATCGCACTACGAACTACGATGGGAAAACGCTGTCAGTGACTGAAGCCACCTCACCTCGTCCGCCCATTCTATCTAAAAAGTGCTAATCGCAGCTATGCAAAACATTTAGATGCAAGGGATCTGTAGAAACTTTATATCGGTTAGCATCTTGTGCCATCTTCGTATCAAGAGAACAATCGAAAAAAAGCCGAGACAGAAAGAACATTTTCAGAATATGTAAGAAATAGATGTCATCTATCTACCTGGTTTAGCGACTCCGGCGAGAGTGCCACCAGGCAGAATCAAACGCAAATTACCTCATCAGATGATGCGGCGCAATTGAAGAAAGTTATGAAAAGATAATGCTTACCATTGACGCTTTGAAAATGATTGTCCTCTGAGCTCATATGAGCAGAGGCAGGGCAGCTGCCGGCAGAAAAAATGTTTGATAGAGGTGAAGGAAACATTGCAGCAGGAAAGGGATCCGAAAAATTTAAAGGGCGTCCAATCAGGAGACCCACTTCAGCTATCGCAAGGCGCCCGTGCACGGCAAGATGGGGTGCTATCCCGGAGTCCGGCAGAACAAAGGTCCGTGAATTTTAGTTAGGGCAATGGATTTTCAGCCCGCACACCTTGATAGCCGAGTCCATCAAAAAAGTCATTGGTAAATCTAGACGTGTGAAGATCCAGCAAACATCCACTCCCGAACGGTAGACATTCTCGACTGGTACGACTGCACCCTGCTCTCTTCTCTCCTGAATCAATCTCATCATCCGATTGATCCTCATCACTCGTTTGAAACCGAAATCCGACTAACGCGCCAGTTCTTCTAGACCACCGTCAAAAATGGGCGAAGCAGTGATTGAGGGTTCCAACTGGCGCCTCGTAGAGGTTGGCCGTGTCATCGTCGTCAACGGCGACCACCCCTACGCCGGCAGACTTGCCGCTGTTGTCGAGATCATCGACCACAAGCGAGTACGTTTTCACCTGGAGAATGTTGAAGAATCCGCCGGGCCCAGGGAAATACTAACGAGCATTTTTGCAGGTTCTCGCTGAGGGACCTTCCGCAGACCCCGAGCTGGCCGTCCCCCGACAGGTCATCCCCCTCTCCCGCGCTCTCCTCTCCCCTCTCGTCGTCGAGGGTCTCAACCGCGGCGCCCGCCAGTCCTCATTGAAGAAGCAGTGGGAGAAGTCCGAGATCGACACCAAGTGGAAGGAGTCGAACTGGGCCAAGAAGCGTGATCAGATCGAGCGAAGGAAGGGCCTCACGGACTTTGAGCGATTCAAGGTCCTCCGTCTCAAGAAGCAGCGACGTTTCGAGGAGCGCAAGGCTCTCGCCAAGGTCAAGGCATCCGCATAAATTGGTTGATTGCAAATGGAGTCAAAAGGGGCAGCTGGGAAGCATTAGACTTGGAGGCAACGGGTTTCGGGCTGGCGAGAGCATATCGGCGCCGTATATGCATGCAAGCCGGCGGCGACCTGACCTCTTGTCTTTCAGGAGGGCTGTATGTCACATCTCATCTTGAGGATGAACGGCGTCAATACGGAAATTCAGAAACCGAATGAATTTGAGGCTTAAAGTTAATATTTCTCAAACATTTAAAAAGTGAACCAGTAGCAAATGATGAAACCATGCAAAATTCCCATTCCAATCCAATCCAAGGTCGAACCCGCGTGCTTGAGCCTCGCCGTAGAATGCCTGCCACATCCCACGTATTTCCTGCGCTGCAAAAATGCGGGCAACCCCGCCTCACATGGGTGCGGTTCTGATTACCTAATCTAGCCCAACCCACGCCAATTCACCAAACCCTAGAATTTCGCATTCGAGAGTTTTGCATCACAAATCGACGACGACAAGCTACATCAGGTCCAATTCCAGCCATTCCGGGCTCAACGAAACACTGTAAGCGCTCACTCATCAGATACCCTTTTTCGCCCCGTCGACACGAACCGAGCCGTGGTGATTGTGACTTGGAGGGGTTAAAATTCATCGCCGAATTTATGTGCAGCCAGCTAACGTGGAGCTTCCTTGGGTTTCCCGCAGAAAACAGACAAGATGGCCAACCCCCGAGTTGAAGAGCTCCCTGACGAGGAGCCCCAGAAGACCGTCGTCGAGGACCACGAGGACGAGAGCAGCGATGAGTCTGAGAACGAGACCGGTGCGCCCTCTGGCACCGCCGCCGTGGTCCACTCCCGCAACGAGAAGAAGGCCCGCAAGGCTCTCGAGAAGCTGCACCTGACCAGAATCCCTGGCATCACCCGCGTCACCCTCCGCCGTCCCAAGAACGTATGTGCAGACCATTCTGGAGGGGGGCCTTGTGAAGCCCGAGCTATGAGGGGTTGAGCGCCAACTAACTTTCTGCCAGATGCTCTTCGTCATCAACACCCCCGAGGTCTACAAGTCTCCCAACAGCAACACCTACATGTGAGCCCCTCCCCCCGCACATGACGTATATACGCGGGAGTTGCATTATATTAATACAGCATCGCAGTGTTTTCGGTGAGGCCAAGATCGAGGACATCAACGCCACCGCCCAGCAGGCCGCCGCTGCCCAGCTCGCCGCCGCCAACGCTGAGGACCACTCCGGCCACAGCCACGCCGAGCCCAGCAAGGCCGGCGAGTCATCCGAGGCCAAGAAGGACGAGGAGGATGAGGAGGAGGATGACGACGAGGAGGTCGACGCCGAGGGCATCGAGGACAAGGACATTGAGCTGGTCATGACCCAGGCCAACGTCAGCCGCAACAAGGCCGTCAAGGCCCTGAAGGAGAACGACAACGATATTGTCAATTCAATCATGGCACTGAGTATCTAAGAACCCTCCACCTCGGCATATAGCTTTTGACTCCTTGTCTTGGGAATCACACCAGAACCGCCGCGAGCTACGAACAGCAAATGTCTGTCTGGCTCTGTATTAGTACTGGAGATTTACCCGGCTTCTAAAATATAAGAATTGGGCCCAAAAAAAAGGGACAAACAGTGCATTCTGGTTTTCTATTCAGCTGTCTAGTGATTTTATGGATGCCGTGAAACAGTGACAGGTCTACCAAGCAATGCCATAGGTAGGAACCACTTGCCGGCGCAAGTTGTGTGCAGATTATATCATATTTGCCGGCGGGGAGCAGAAGCCCCTCATTCCATCCATGTTCAATTGCTATAGATGCTGCCAAGAGATCGATTGTGGTCGAAAATCTCTCGTAGAATTCATTGAGATTAAATATTTCCCGAGGAAGATAACTTTATTCATTTCAGCATTTAATTGACAATCCAATCTGCTCTTATTTCCAAGCTCTCCCCCGCACCAGCAAGGCTCCAGGAACGGCTTCTGGACGTTCGGAACCTTGAGGGAGATGATTGTCACGTGACACGTGAACCGGCATCAATCATCGGACCCATTCGGCAAAGTCAACCTACTCCCGTCAAGACCACGATCCTCCTTCCCTTCCATCACCAAAACAACCGACACAATGGCCGCAGTAAGTCCCCCGATAGCCTCAGAAGAGCCCGCCGCAATTCCAATTCCAACGTCCCACAAAGCCGCCCCCGATTGACCCGTCCCAATTACCGCGACAACGATGAGCTAATTTTTCTACTCCCTGCCAAACAGCGAAGCGCTGCTCTCAAGCTCGACTGGACCAAGGTCACCAGCTCGCTGGGCCTCCGCGGCCAGACCGTCGCCTCCCTCCAGGCCTTCAAGAAGCGCAACGAAGATGCCCGCCGCAAGATCCAGCTGCTCTCGGAGCAGCCCACCACGGTCGACTTCGCCGCCTACCGGTCCTCGCTCAAGAACCAGGCCATCGTCGACGAGATCGAGAAGCGCTTCGCCGAGTTCAAGCCGTCCACCTACGACGTGAGCCGCCAGCTCAAGGCCATCGACGCCTTCGAGGTCGAGGCCGTCAAGAACGCCGAGGCCACCAAGCAGGCCGTCGACCTCGAGCTCAAGGACCTCGCCGCCACCCTCAAGAACATCGAGACCGCCCGGCCGTTCGAGGACCTCACTGTTGTATGTTGCTTCCCCGGGAGAAGAATAAGTTTTCACCGCAATATGGAGGTGCTGATGATGCGTTACTATAGGATGACGTTGCCGCTGCCGAGAAGTCGATTGATGAGAAGACAAGCGAGCTCGTTTCCAAGGGTCGCTGGATGGTGCCCGGATACAAGGTATGTGCAGCCGGATACGACCCGTGCGGCTCTGAATCATCTAACACCCAGTGCAGGAGAAGTTTGGCGACCTCGCCGTGGTCTAAGGGGCTCGTGTCTTTCGCTACTTCATACGGACAAGTCTCCTTTGTGTACTCTAGCCTTGTAGATACGAAAATTCGTGACGGTGGAATTATCAGTCTACCGATACCCTGTGGTCAACATTCTTTTGTTCAAGCAAGGTCCGCCGCGCAGTGAAAACGTTCCATGAAAATTAATCAGTGATGTTAAAAGCATGTATTGATTCCAAGCTCCGACTGAGTTCTACCGTGACAGCACCGCAGAGTCGAAGCTCCAGCTCTAGCTTGTCTAAGGACATAACTCCCATGGTTCTATGCTCACAGTACCGACAAACAAACCGACGACAAGAGGGTGCCTTCCGAAGGAGTGGCCTGTGTTCAAGCAATTGCCGTCTAATCTAGTTCGACGCCCAGGGCGGCCATCCCACTCTACCGCGTGGCTTTTGCTCCTCGACCCCGGGTTTGTTCTCTCTGCTTTATCGCATACCAACAGCTAAACCAGTCGTAAACCCGTTCTCCCCAACTCCACCTTCATAAGAATCATGCCTCGTGAGTCCAAAAAAAAAAAAGGTAAGGCTCGTGGTCTGGTATCTTGCTTCTCCAATCTTATGCAACCCGCTGCTGCAACCCCCGTCCTTTTATTGAGGGACGGCGTACTTCTGCGTCCACTCCCTGGCGGTGGCAATGGCGGCCTGCTCGTCCTGCTTCCAGCTCTTGGCGACGTCGGCGGCGAGGGGGTCGTCGGGGTTGGGGGCGCCCAGGAGGGCCTGGATGGACAGCAAGATGGTTCGGATCTGGAGCGCGGGGGACCAGTTGTCTATATCAAGAACACGTGAGCGGTTTTGCGACCCAGAGCGTGCGAGGAGCCTTGGCATGTCACGTACTCTTAAGCACATCCAGGCAGATACGGCCCAGTTTGTCGACATTCGGGTGGAAGATCTTGGTTAGGAAACGGATCTTGGGAGGGGTCATGGGGTAGTCCTCCGGGAGGAACAGCTCCAGCTTGAAAACACCGCCTGCAAAGTTCCCATTTGGTTAGCCGCCAGGTAGAGAGTCAAAGGAGGGAAACCCTCCTCGTGGAAGCGGGCGGGCGGTCGATATGTCCAGCCTGATATGGTGGCTTCAAGTACCTTCGTATGGAGACTGGCTGGGGCCATGGATCTCGACGTCAAAGTACCGCAGGTTATCTTCGTGCGGTACGGCGCTGATTCCGGGAACCCTGGCAGCAGAGGCTGTGTCAACACGATGGGCGGGACATTGCGCCTATTGCGAAAGGAATATGCTTACGGTTCGGCCATCAACCGTTCCGTCTCTTTGATGATACGCTTGGGAAGGGCCATCTTGAGATGCGGTTATCGGATGTTTCTTTTGTTTACTGGAGCGCCGGTTTTTCGACAATGAGCTGGTAGAGTACTGGTTCGAGGTCCAGTTCGCGCGCACGGATCGAGCTTTTTAATAATCAGGCTGCTGCTTGAGGCTTTCCGGTCGAGGCGGGGCGGCCTTTTTACCCAGCAAGTGCAAATGCTCCGGGTCAGGGCTCGGGATGGCGGGGCAGGTCTTGGGAATGCGGCTGGTAGGAGGAGCCTTCTTGCGAGCGGCTGCGAGGTGCAGGTCTGTATACGAAGCGATCGAAGAACGAGGTCAGAGCAGAAGAAGTCGAGGGCAATAGCCAGTGAAAGCTCCCTCCAGATGAATGATGAGATAGTCAGTGCATGGATCAGGAGCGGGATGGCCCCACATCTTCTGTAATGGACATGTGAGTGATGTAGCGTGGAATCGGTACGCAGGTACAGGAAAGTACCTAATAACTGTGGTGTTTTCGCCTTGTGATTTTGTATCCCGGGGTAGCTTGGCAGCTGTTATGCGTGCCCCTCCAGCTCATTGTAAGGCTCACCAACGCCCAATGCTTGGGTTGATTACCCTATATCAATCCATGTCTTTGTTTCCCTGAAAAGAAGCTACAAGGCCTCACTCACATGTTTAGGGTTAATCGTAATTTAGTCTTTCGAATTTAAAATCCCTTTAACGGTGATGTGCTGAAGTATTATACACCTGTGATTATTCTGGTCATATCACATTGTGCATCCATCGGTGATCTTTACTTGATGATGTGATATTCAGGGAATATTACTTAAGGTCGCACCATAACACAAAGAACGTCACTGATTTACACCGTGGCCGGTATCACTTATGATTCCAACTTTCGGAGCAAAGTATAATTCAGAGACGAAATTGAATCAAGCTTGAGTTGCATAGTCGAAGGTTTAGTCACACAAATAATCAATTACACTGAGCTAGCTCGCCAATAATCTTCAAATACATATAACATATACATTAGCCTTCTTGCCTTTTATTTCTCCTTAAACTGGATGCACGAGACCAGGACCCCGTCGATTTCTTCAGCCTCCCCAGACCCAGCGCAGAAGGCATCAATCCGCCGACATCAGCTGCAAAGCTGACATCAGGCGCGGCACTACCTTGTCTGCCTCGCACCTCGCCGCCTTTATCTTCCTCCGGAACCACCACAGGCGGAATCACCTGTACTTGTGATTGGGTCTTGAGCATTGCTGCCTGGAGGGCAGCCCAGGACTCAACCTGCCCATTGGATGCTTCCTCCACGCAGTTGCACTCATCACCGGCTGGACAAACAGTTTCGCCCGCTGCGTGCCACTCTGCAAGGCAGTGTTCGTGACTGGCACAGCCGCATGAGAGACACGGAGGAAATAGGGCGTCAACAGGTTCTAGGCAATAGACGCACTTCAGTTGACTTTGAGTGCTCCGACAACGGTCACAAGTGCCCACTGCACCTCCTGTGTGAAGATTTGAGGATGAGTATCGCAATGGTTCTAGCTGAGTCTCATGCAAGCGACACATTCCGGTGATGTCGAGCCCGCGGTTGGAAGCCACAAGTGCTTGAAGGTGGTCTCTTTTCCCCATGACAATTGGCGACGACCCTGTCCGTGGATGCCCAAGACTGCTTCCTTCGGGTATGTTGAAGGAATTGGGAAAGTGGTGTTCTCTGTTAGGTGGAATACCGACATCCTTCATATTATTGAATTTCATAATCTCCAGTCTGGCCAGTGGCTCGTTCCACATCTGTAGCATCTCCGCATATGCATGGCGATAGTTCGCATATAGGCTCGCTCGACTTGGTTCGAGAAGCGGCGTACTAAGCCACCCGTCATCATCGAAGATTGTTTGATCCTCCACAAAGACTGCAACGCTTACGGGGACATGAACAAGGGATAAAGTGTCTTCTGTGTGGTACTCGTCATCTGATAGCGATGCTCTATAGACGCTCGAATCACCAGCCAATGCCGAGTTTGCCCACGCATTGCTCATGCCTGGCGCCAGGGTATTGAGTATTGCCTCAGCTGGACTAAGCTTCTTCTTGCTTTGGTTCGGCGGTGATGGAGTGTTGTCTCCAGTTAGCATTTTGGGAACGGTTGTTGCCGTGAACGAGGAGGCTAAGCTCGTATTTGCTCTGGTCCCAGACCGACTGTTGGTCCTTGAAACATACATAGGCAACTCTAGATCCGCTAGTCTGCTCTGCCCTGGAGGGGTATCGCCATATGAATAAGAGTTTGGCACGAGTTCCTCGCCCCAGACTGCTTCTTCTGACACATGAGATCTTGCGTAGCCGGGTGTCTGAGGAGTGCGGGGGGTGTTAGCTGCTGAGCCCTTCTCGTTTCTGCTGCTTAAATTCCAGGCCGCTGCATCAGTGGGGAAATATTCCAGGGAGAAGGACGGTGTTTTCAGAGCCAGTGGAGTTTCTGGTTGCGGTAGTTGGGATTCCACGTAGGCAACGCACTCATCGGCAGAAGAATCGCTGAAAATGCACGATAGCATAGCCAACATCTGGATATCGGCTATCTTCTCAAAGTAATAAAAAAGGCCCGCGATAAAGTCTCTGGCCAGTGGATGATGCCCCCATTTCACACGGCCCGATAGGTGTGAGGAGTTTCCGTGAAACTTATCTTCCAAGTTTACCCAGTTTGATGTTTTCTCACTTTGAGAAACAATGTCGTGAGCAATCACGAGGATTGAGTTTTCCTTATTGTTCTTTTGGGTGAGAACTTCCAATGGGATGCCCGTTCTTAAGAGGAGAGCAAGGTAACGCCAAATATCGGCGATATCCGTGTGACCGTACTTGTCTGCGAGGACAGCGTTGTGGCTACAGACATCAGCTCCATCACCGAATATGGCATAGCCCTGGGCAAACTCCTTCTTTGATGGCAAGATGGAGGACACATCGTGCAAGGAGACTACGTTCCGAGGGCGACCCATGCGCCGGCGACTGTTCACTGTGCCGGTTGCTGTACCAATGCCAGTCCCAGTCCCGCCTCCGCTTGAACGAATGGAGCGGTTTTCACTCCAAGTTTTCCTTAGCACGCGTCGGGGGTGATACCATAGACTCAATTTGTGCATGGAAGTGGATCCTGAATCACTTGATGACGAGGACTCGTCCGAGTCTTCCGTATCTGAATGATCATCTGCAGCTGAAGCTTCGTCCCCGTTATACCTTTGCCTCGGGGCAGCATCGAAGTTAAGGCGACCAAAACCAGCAAATGGCTCACCCTTAGGTCGCTCCTTGCTGACCTCTGTCGTATTAGAGAACAGGACTCTCGCCTTCTCCTCCTTCGTAGGGAAGAAGCAAACAAGTCGACAATCGTTAGAAAACCTTGCACCGCATGTCCTAGGTGGTGGTGGAATGATTGAGCGATTGATTGGGGTGAAAGAGTTCTCGATCTCGGTCGGTGGTACAAGCTCCTGGGACATAGACGCAGACCCTCCGGTTGGAATATCCGCTTCCTCTTCTTCGCTGCTCGAGCTTTCGTCTTCCAGACCCGTTATATCGTCATCAAAGTCGACATTTTTGAAAAATGTGCTCGACTCCAGATCCGCTTCACCCAAAAGATAGGTGAAAGCCTTTTCTAAACAGTTCTTCTTTCGAAGTAAGAACCGATGGGCCAGTTCGTGGATTTCTTTAGTAAGTCGTGCGTGTGTTTCCTCCGGAAGGAATGACGTCTTTTCGATGAGAAAGCTGGGGGCGCTCGAAGTTGGATAGTCTTCAGGAATATCAATTTTAACCTTAATAAAGATGGTATCCCCACTCTCACCCCAAGGCCCATTCAGTGAGGCGTTGAGAGTCAGTGTGTCCATGTCGATGTTTTCCCATCTTATCTTGGGGATCTGTGTACTGATACGTAGCAGTTCATCTTGCACCGTGTCAGGCTCACCCCAGTCGTCATCGGGATATCCGTGGCCAAAGATGCTGGAGTCCTTGGACATCTGCCTCTTAGGCATGTTGGTTGTTTCCTTCCTCCGGGTGATCGTGATGCCCTTCAACCAGCTGATTTGTGACTGCGTGTTGTCCCGCTCACCCTTGACGGTGGCCTTCATTGAGGGACCACGCCAGCTGGATTTTGAATGCTGGCCTTGGGACCCGGATCGCATGCTCATTGTCAACGCGCTCTGGTGCTGCAGCGCAAAGGCTGCCCGTGGGTCGCTCATCGTGCCGGTTCTTCTATCTCTAGCAGAATCATCGTCCACGTTTCGGAATGTTTTATATGCTGCACCTTTGCGGGTGAGGGTTATAGCCTTTGGAGCTCGCCCCCCTTTGACATAACCGACATCCGAGAGAACTTCTGGATCGAGGCACTGGAGCCTGAGTTCATTATCGGTTCCCCAGGAGACAAGTTGGAATTCACGATCGTCGGTTCTGTCTTCCGAAATACCACCGCGAGTCCTCCACAGGAACTCTTTGGCTTTTTGCGGGGCATGCCCGGGAAATATGTGCACAGGCTTTGTAACCTCTCCTGTGGGGGTCTCGTCGAGTCTTTTCCGATCATATAAGTACAGGTCACCAGGTTCATTTTGAGGCATAGCAAGCATTCCCCATCCAAAAGGAGTATGGCGAGCCCTCCAGACTGGGAACTCGGTGTGAATAACATGATCGGGCTCGTTTACTTCTTTGGAGTAATCCCAGAACTTGATCGTTTTGTCTAGAGAGCAGGTTGACAGAGCAGTCGGCTTCACCCGATTCCAGTCCAAGCCGTAGATTTTGGTCTTGTGCGCGTTGATGGACTTCAACGGTTCAGACGCTCGGCGGTCATCCCATACGTGAAGCCATCGATCGTGGGAGGAGGCTATCACGTGGGGATTCTGGCGGCTGTACTTGACCTGGGTAGCCCCGGCAAACCAATCACAGTACGTGAGGACGGGTTGCCTGGGTCGGCGTAGATCCCAGGAATGAACAGATCCGTCCACAGAGCAAGTGGACAGAAGATCTGGGTGGTGGGCAGAGAAGTTGATATCAGTGATGGCTCTGGTGTGGCCCTGGAGAGAGTGCTCAATGGCGCCATTGGTGGAATCTTCCCTTTGATTCAGATTCCACACGAGGGCACAATGGTTGGCAGTAGATACAATCCAATAATCTCTTGCTGCGAATGGGGACCATTGCACATCAGTCACCAACCATGGGAGCCCATAACTGCGCAGCCTCCGCGGCGGGTTGTAAGGTGAGTCCAGGTCGATGATGGCAAGGCCATCAGGAGACGCAAGGGCTATGTCGCGCCCAGACGGCGAGATGGTGGCGGACCCGACCAATCCATCGACATGGATCGTGATGTCCGACTCAAAGCTTTCACTGTCATACGCAGATCTGATTACCTTTCCTTTCTTAGAAGGTTCAGCAAACCGATCGAGAGAGGGCATGGTGACGCCCTATGTACTGCTTGTCACATTGAAGGTAGGAGATTTCATCAAATGGAGGCGGTAGGATGTTATGAAGACCGGCCCGGAATCATCAAGCCTAATAAATGGAGCGATTGCGTCGCGACAAGCTTATGGGCTGTGCTGCGGGCAACAAGACCCTTGGGAGAAGATGTGGCTTGCTCGTATGTCGTTGGTTCGAACCAGACCAAATCTCATGGAGTTGACAATGGCATCACACTCGCTGACTAAGCACCCCTTCCAGCTACCATATCAAGTAATAGCGGCAGTCGCTAACAGTGAAGAAACTCGGCCCTATCAACATCTTTGTCACATACCAAACACCGAAAATATGCGCAACATCTAATTCATTGGGATTCTCTGTCGCCTCAAGGCCTCGGAAACTTCTTTCCCAAGAATGACCCTTGAGACGTATATGGGCTGATTGGCGTCTACTGTACCGGCACCTTCCTATTGAAGCGGGTCCTGCTTTTATCAGTGCGCTGAAGCTTCTCCACGAAACACACCTAACCCACCAGAAAGCAACGATGCCATCTTTAAATCTGCCCAGCTACAGGGATAAAAGTCTGAGCATGCAAAGTAGGCAGAAACTCAGAAATGAAGCCAATGACTTGGGATCCTGCATCGACAGTTGGTGTTGGTGCACGATTCGCCTGTCACCGGTCGCATGGAATGTTAGGAGGCTCCAGAATCCAAAGCCTTTAATTCCCACCCAGCGAAGAAAAGATTTTCTGCCTGCATTAACAATGACGGATGACCTTGATCCTGAGGGATCGCGAGCAATGCAACTTGAGTGAAAATCCGACTCTCCCCATTCCTTGGGTGGAATCGTACGGCGTTACGCTATGCCCGGGTTGACAGGAGGGGAGGATCATTGGACATACGCGAATGCTACCTCAACGATCGCTAAAAAGTCTGCATCCAGAGATGGGGAGGGCCCTGGGTTCTGACCCCGGACGCTGAGGGCGACGAAAGAGGATGTATGGAGTCAACCACCGGCACTTGGAAGGGGAGAAGAGAAGCCAAAGTCCATTCCATGATGACTCTTCTGTTGCCTCTCCCCAAGACTTATTAAGTTGCATTAATAAGTCGATCTGCCCCGATCTGGTACCAGGTACGGCACCTGCCGGTCGCCTGGACAGCCTGGGAAACGTGGACAACGTGGACAACGTGGATAACCGCATCCCCGTCTGCTGTGGGACAGGTCGGGCAGCCCTATTGCAACCGACTTGGACGAAGAATCATTCTTGTGCTACACACTCGCATCGCATGCCAGCCCCTTTCCGGCTCGACTCGACATGAGCCCAGAGGTGTGCCTGACTCCCGCCAGCCACTGCCAGGGCGGCATGCTTTCTATTTTTCGTCACCTCGTATTATCTAATGCCGTGGCTGGCTGACAAGTGAGGGCGATGCAGACAACGGCAACGCCTTGCGCTGGGCCCACAGATTCGAGACCACTAACAGACTCGCACCAGCATCCACCACTGTTTCATCCGCCCATTCCATGTCGTGCCCGCCGACTGGGCATGGAGTTCGTCGGTTGCTTGGATCGTGGGCCGGGCAGAGCATCCAAACTATCTGCAGGCTGCCACATTGGGGAATTCGGAGATGCCCAGTCACAGGCGCCAATTCGAGTCTTGCAACTAGGTTTGCGCTCTGGCTGCTCACACTTGGGTCGGCCACCTATGCGACCCATGTTACAGAGAACATGGCCCAGGTCGAAATCATGGCCGCCCGGGGCCACCACGACGTGCTGTGGGTGAGATTCAGCTTGGGGGTGGTGCCACCCTTGGCCGGCGATCGCCTGCCTGTCGACCATTTGAGAAGTTCAGTTAAAATTGTGCCGCAGCCCTCTTTTGTTCCTTCTCAGCGGAACCTGCCTTTAACTACTCTCATGCCCAACTTCCACTGACAGAGGGGGACGGTTTTACCTAGGCAACAAATCGACAGCACAACTCCAGCCAACAAAGACCATGGCTACCATGTCCTCATCGGGCCGCGCCTCAGTGGGCAGCTCGTCCACACATTCATCAAAACCTTCCTCGAGTTCCTCCAAATCCTTCACGCCTGATTGCATCGCACCTGAGCAGCGACCCAGATTCATACAGCCTGGCCTCCCGACGCTGACTTGGCCTGAGGAGAAAGGCTCTGCCTCCATCATCTATGCCACCCGTATCTACGCACCCATCGCCCTCGTCGCTTCTGCTCTCCTCGATACTCGTTCCTACAGCTCATGGAACCGGTACTGCCCCACCATCCAGGTCAACTCTCAACCTCGATCTACCGCCCCGATACCTCCCATCGTCGCCCGGGACCCTTCTGTGGCCGCCATCGCCAACCTACCGAGCACTTTGCGTGATGGCGCCACCTTCACCCCGCATGTGTTGCTGGACGTCGCCTCTGTCCCCGAGAATGCCTCGGCTGCCATGCAGAACTCTAAATACCCCACCTACAACACCAAGGCCTGTCCACAACTCCAAGTCAGCGCCCTGGACCAGTACATACGTCCAGACGGCCGCATCTGCATGAGGATGGCCTGGCGAGCGCGAGGTAAAATGACCAACTTTCTCCTCCGCAACGAGCGCGTCCACGAGCTCGTCACCTCACCCGACGACCCCAACATGACAGACTATGTGTGCTGGGAGACGTTTTACGGGGGCTTGAACGGTGCTATGCAGAGTGTGTATGGCAAGCAGATGGAACGGGGTTACGGCATGTTCATGGATGGGCTCAAGAGGAATTCCGAGGAGCGGGCGCGAGGCCGGGCCATGGCCGAGGAGGTGATTGAGCAGAAGCGTTCCAATGCCGAGGATGGCCTGGCCCCTGCCCCGATCGTATCAATTTAATGAGTTTTGCTTCTTTTGTTTTTTCGGTGTTTTTGGAGGGAGGAGAGGGAAACGTGGCCACGTGGAAGGCCACTTGGCAGTGCATAGATACAGATACCCAGGTTTACTTTCCTTAAGGATAATTTTTCATTTCTCAAAAAACTTTCTCTATCTTTATATGCCAGTCCCTCTTCCCCCTACCTTTTTCCCCTAAAGTGTAGACCCATCAGGGCTTCTTCTTCTTCCCATCATTGACATTAAGTCAAGTCCTTTCAAGGGGCAATGCCGCCAATTTCCTGGGGCTTAAAGTACACGGTGAGGATCCCGTCGCACTGGACATCCCTGACCACGGCCTTGACGCCGTCGTGGGCGGTGCAGGCGTCGTCGTAGTACCTCAGGTCCTCCAGGCTGGCGAACTCGGTCTTTGACACGAGGGTGTATCCCTGGCTGCGCTGGTCCTCCTCGGCGGGGCCGACGACCATGGACAGGATGTACGGCTTGCCATCCTGCACGATACGGAAGGAATTTCGTTAGCCTTGGAACCTTTTTTTCCTCCTCCTTCTTCCTCTCTTCATTTCCATCCATCTCCTGTGAGGACAGGATTGGGGGCGGGAGGAGAGGGAAGAGGATTTGCAGGATTGGTGGTGGGGGCCGTGATTCAGCTCAACGAACCTTCTGGTTGTTCTTGGCCAGCGCGTTGTACGCCTCCAGCATCCGCTTACGATCCTCCTCCTTGGGCATCTTGAACATGGTCACGCGGTGCACACGGTCAGCCATTCTTGCGGCTGTCGTCTTGCTGTAAGACCTGCTGGCTTGTCGTTGGAATGTGGAGGTGAGTCTTTGTCGGAGGAACAGAGGGTTCATGAAGGCACAACAACCGGGAAATGAGGGGGGGCTGTCCTGAGCTTTTATGAGGGAAAATATCAATCGTGCTTAGATTTGAAAGTGCGGAAATAGAGGAGCAAAGGTCGAGGACGGAATTAAAAGGCTCCTGTCGGCTCAGATGGCGATGTCGGCCACCAGCGCTTTAACCCCTCCCCCGCAGTTTGGGGCCATGTGGGGAGGCTATATAAGACAGACTGGAGGAAAGCGTGGGGGTCATCAATCATCAGAGGAGGGAGTTGCACAGGTAAGTATTAGATTCATTGCTCATATTGCAGGCAATGGCTGGTATTGTTCTGGTATCGTCTATATAAAATGCAAATAATAACAAAAAGCGTTCAAAATGTCGGCGGAGACAGTGATGACGCAGTTTTTGCACCAATCAGAATCCCGCAGTAAAGTCGTATCATCATCTAATAACTCAGCTTCTCTAACAAGACAACCATCCACCAGTTGATGCCGAAAATGATACTTCCATGTAAATGTCGACCCGAGAAACACCGTCTCACAGTGATAGATGCCGAACCGGAAAAATCTAGAGACAAGTGAATAACAAAATGGAATAAATAGCAAAAAACAACCATATAGAACCATCGATGCTGGCATGATATGACAACCATGATGATAAATCACGTAGCAATGCTCCTCCTCGCTCTGTTTCGCCGCAAATGCAGGAACACCCAGTGGGAAGGCGCCAAACTCTTTATGCATAAAAACACCCAAGACTCCGCTCCCGATGCTGAGAGTACCACCGACTGACACCACAAGAAGAAACAAATAAAGAAAGATCTCCGTCTTCTCCTCTCAAGCTGCCGGGGAATTGGGACTCAGTCCCACAATCCTTCGGACAACAACCTGCATCTTTTCCACCAGCTCCGGGATACGATATGGCTTGACAAGCACATCGTCACACCCGGCCTGCTTGGCCTCCATTATTTGTTCCGGCCGCGCATTTGCTGTGACCGCGATGATAGGAATACGCCCCCCAGATGCACAGAACACCGACCCATCCTGTTCAAGCTCCCGTATCTGCCTGGTACAGCTGAGTCCGTCAAGAATAGGCATCTCGATGTCCATCAATACGAGGTTGATGGGGATAGGCTGCGCATTGTTGCTACCGGAGAAGGAGCCCCTATTATTTGACCGACTGCCTCCACTGAGCGCCTTGACTGTCGTCTCACCCTGACCAGGTGCTTTGGCCTTCGCCCCGACCGATTTGCGCAGTTTCTCCAGCGCCTCTACGCCGTGGTTGGCAACATCCACCAAGTAGCCCCTGTCTTGCAGACCACGCCGAGTGATCTGCTGGTTGATAAGGTTGTCCTCCACCACAAGAATACCATCCAGGCGAACGGCGATTCCCAGCTGGACCTTTTTATGGAGTCGGTTTTCCTTGAGCGTTGCTCCCTGCTTTCCTCCAGACTCTAGTGTCACCCCTGATCGTTCGGCCTCTAGCCTGTTAACAACCTTGGCCGCCGCTGCGGTAGCTTCAGCTTCTACCAGCGCCTCCGGAGTCGGAACATACGCCTCGATGTAAAAGGCGAATGTAGACCCAACCCCTACCTCACTTGACACGCCAATCGCCCCATTCTGTAACTCTGTAAGTCTCCTTGAGATGAAAAGCCCAAGGCCAGACCCCCCGTACTTAACGTGAGTCTTTGCACTGGCTTGGACGAACTTGTTGAAAAGGGTACCCATTTCTGCCTCAGTTAGACCTTGGCCTGTGTCTTTGACCTCGAATAGGAGATATACAGGGTTGCCCCGGCCTTTCAGAGCAGGCTGCTCGTAATCATCTACTTCATTTTGGAAGCGGGGGATGAAATCAGCAATTGTCATATCCCGACCGGGCTGAAATAGGGATCCTTTCACAGAGATTGTCACATTCCGCACCTTGCCAGACTTGGTGAATTTGAGTGCGTTTGTAAGAAGATTGATAAGAATTTGTTTGAGGCGAGAAGGATCCAAATCCAAGTACTTGTGGTCCAGGTCGGTGTATGATGGGTCCACCACACTCGTCAAAGCAATGTCTACCCTTCGAGCTTCGACATCAAACATCTTGAGTGCGTCAGCAACAATATGAATGGGATCTACCGTGCAAGGCGTGACAGCGAGAAGCTTGGAGTCCAGCTTAGACATGGTCAAGATATCGTCGACAATGCGTTTTTGGTGTTGCGCACAGGTCTCAATGGTCTCTGCGTTCTCGATACTATCCTTGATGAGTCTCTTCATTTGGCTGACTCTTTCCTGTTCTTCGCTCTGGGATTGTGATAGACCTGTTGTGGCCCGTGAAGGCGTCATCGGCTCTGCCACTTCATCAAGCTCTTCTACCCTAGCAAGAGACGCGACGATGGCATCGGCGCAATGAACGATAGCACTCAACGGGTTCCGCATTTCATGGGACGTCATATCGATGAAGTTCTCTTGCTGGCGCTTTGACTCAATGGCTTCATCCTTGCGCTTCCTTTCTTGATCCAGCTGCCACTTCTGCAAAGACACGTCGCTGATGCAGCCAGTGAAGGATTGGATAACACCATCCGAACTCTTTACAGGTATGAAGGTCGTGAGCACGGAACGAGCAGACTCAATTCCCTGTCCAATGGTGTTCTCGGCCCTCCAGGTAGTCTTTAACCTGATTTCGGCAGACTGGGAACGGCCAGATGCTCGCAGCTCATTCAACTTCTGCTGCACAATCGGCAGGTCTTCTTCCACAACGCAAGTTTGCCATGGGTCGAGATCTACCTTGGCCAAATCGACTTTGGGCAAGCCACTCAGCTCCCAGAAGGAATTATTAGCACTGAGCAACCGCCCGTCCAAGCTAATATCATACATTCCAACAGTAGCAAACTCAGCAAGGCGCTTGAGATTCTGTGCTTCTTGTGCACGCCTCACGGCCTCTTCTGCAGTATCCTTCTGTTCCGTCACATCGGTCAAGCAAGTCAGCATCCTGATAACTCTGCCATCATCAGCCCGCTCTGCTTTGGTGGATGCCAGTACGTGACGTCCGACCCTATCATCAATGCCTGCAACAGAGCCATTTCGGGGCCTAGACCCATTGAGCTGAGGTTCGGTCCGGGGGATGCGGAATTCGAACGTCACAGTTTCGACCTTCTCCAGCTCCTCGTATGCCCGCACAATCTTGGACCTGTCTTCTGGAATAACGCACGTTTGCAGTGCCTCTGGGGCAATAGGTCCCCGAGGGTATCCAGTTATTCGATACCAAGCGTCGTTGGCAAATGTGACGTTGCCGTGGTTGTCTGTAATCGACATTCCCACTGGGATAAATTCAGCGACAGCCTCAAAGTTTTGCAACGATTTGTTCGTCTGCTCCGTCTGCCATGCGAGTTTTCGTTGCAGCATAGCGGTATCATGGGTTGCTTGTGCCACTGCATTTCTACCGCGTCGTGCTTCTTCCTCTAGCAGGACAGTTGATGCAAGGGAGCTTGTCAACTTTTGATGGAGAAGCGAAATGAACTGCCGGTAATCATTATCGTAAGGTCTCCGAGGATTAAGACCCAAAAATAGGATGCCCATGATACTTTCGTCATTAGTTGGTCGAATGGGGCAGATGACAGCATTCTGACAAGCATCGCCAAAACCTCGCCACTCTAATCCATCCAGAAGCCTCTCTGGCAAGGTACCATCTTTCTTCTGGAGGAGTAAGGCAACTTGGGCTTGAAGCGCCTCACGGAAGCTGGGCGCCAGTCCATCATCCGTGTCCCGAAGATCCAGAATGGACGGCGCGATAGGATGGCCAGCCGGCACCCCGAGGGAACCTGCCAATTTACACGTTCTGGGGCAGTCGTAACGAGACCTCGACGAATCAAGGTCATCATCATCCACGACCGAATATATGAATGCCAGCGGAACATCGTATGCTGGACTCCATCGCTCGAGCTCCTCCAACGTCTTGGCCCAATAAGACTGCACATCTTTTGCGGTAACCAGAGCGTTACCCAAGTCGATCAACATTTTCATTCTCCTCTCCCAGAGCCGCATTGAAGTTGTCTCGAGCACAGAATGCTGTATTCCCAGGCATCTACCTTCGACGATAGGGTTTAGGGCCCATTTAACATATGTCTCCTCTTTCAGGTCGTCAGATTTCGGAACAAAGAATCTAGTTTCATCTTCCAGCCTACAGCGTTTGTTAGGGGGTGCGTTCCATACGGGATCCAACTTGTCCTTGATTTCGGGCCAAATCTCCAAGACTGATCGGCCAAGAGCATGCGGATGATCTGTGCCAACGAATTTGGAGAAAGCCTCGTTGTATAACATCAGATATTCTGGCCCCCACAAAATCGAGCTTGGTCTAGAGTCAGAGATGGTTTGATTAAATGCTTCTTGTAAGCGCATAGGCCAAGAGTTCATAGGACCAAGGGAATGCCGAGCCCAGTCGACACTCTGGATCACGTCGAGGAAGGGTTCAAGGTCTGATGAGAAATTCGGCAACATAAGCATAGGCTGTGGCTTATCTCGGAACAAAGGTATCGCGGCAGCACTCTCAAGCTCCTGCTTATCCATGGGAGCAAAGTCAACGGCCTGGGTGCTCACCGGCTCGGAATGATGTATCCTCGAAATTCCTTCCATGACCTTCAATCGCTTCTTTCTTGGAGGCTCAGATGACGGAGGGGCCTCATTCCCACTCATGACAATCCATTGACTTTGTACAACATTTTTTGTCCAGTATACACCAAGATACGAAAGCGAGTGATGCGCATCGGGTTTCAAGTCGCGGGTTTCGGGGACTGCGCTATTCACCCAATTCCAAAACGGAGACTGAATCTCATCTTCTGGGATCGCAAGAATGGCTTGTAGGAGTGTTGAGTTCGAGCTAAGCGCGGGGTTATGATATATGATTCCCTTTGGTTGGTCACCAGACCCCTTTGGCGCAGTCGAGCCAGGCTTCTGGTTTGCGACAATGAAGGTCGGTCGAGGATCAGAGTCGAGCAGGCCGACCAGACTGGCATCCTTGAGCGAAGATGCCATTA